ATGCTTCTTCCTAATTAACATTCACCGCATAACCATTATCCAGCCATGATCATAACCTCTTGAAGCTCATAGACTTTCTGTGGAAACAATATGAGAAAGCCTCTTCCTTTGAAAGAAAGGCTCTCTGTTTCCCTCTTAGCCGTAAGCTCGAACAAACTTTTGCTGTATGTGCTGGAAGTCACAGAACAGTAAGGTTGAGCAATGCGGGTCCTTTTACCATAGAAGATGATTGTTCCTGCCAACGCAAAGCCACGCATAGAAGTAACGAACTTTCACCAGACTTTGTCTGTCGGAGCTGCCACTGCAGCTTATCAGGTGCTGCTAAAACTCTCTCGTTTTCTACGTTTAACTGTGAAATAAACTATATGCTAGAAGCTATAGCATCACCAAGAGGGATAATATAACCCAAAAGGTTAGACTGCATAAAGCTTCAGCATTCATCGATAGCGAAGAGGATAATAAGTCGTAAAGTACGCTGCTGTCGTAAGCCTCTCTTATGAAAACACCAGCCAAAAGAAGAATTCGGTCCAGCAGGATTTTGTTAATTGTCCCAGATAATACCAGTGTTCTAAAAAAAAAACAGTTAGTGAAAAGAATGCTGTTGATAATGCTTTGAATCAGCCTTGAAGAACATCATAGAAATTATAATTAAGATAGAACCATTTTTAAAATTTAACTTTCAAATTATTTAATATTAATTTGATGTGAAGCATTTTTGTGAATGGATGCTAGGATGGCCTTTTTATTAGTGCGGCACCGTGGGAGAAAAACCTTCAGTTCTCTCATCTAAGTTAAAAGCACATAAGGTCATATACCAATTCGTGTCTTGGCTGCACTTACCGTGTTTTTACTTGACAGAGAAAAAATCGATGCGTTCTCTCTCGGTGTCCACCTCTTATAATTTCTTAGCTTTTATTAAGGTCATGACACCAGAACCAAAAAGTCCGATTCTTCTGTCTCATAAAGCAAGTAAAGTGTTACTGTTAGCAGTTGCTTTGACTATCTTACCTAGAAGCAGAGAAAATCGACTCATCTCTCAGTCTATAGCTGACATCTAATATATTTCTAATACAAATTCTGATTGAAATTGGGCGATGGAATCCATGTCGAATAAAGAAAATCAACATTCAAACTCTTATTAAAAAATTATGGTGTCAAACACACATAGCCCTTAAATCATTGTGCTTGAATTATTTGAGTGAGAGAAATCAATGCATTGAAAAGATTATTTCCACTGTTATTGAATTTTTTTAGATATGTGTATTTGATAATATTTTTGAATATATCATTATTTTTGATAATATATTCGAATAAGTCCTTTATTCATTATCAAAATAAATGTCATTAAAATATTGTTGATAGTATTTTACTCATTTGAAATATTAAACATTTTTTTTTTGTATTGTATATGATTATTAATTTATATATATATATATTATATATATTATATTATATAAATATATAATATATACCATGACAATTATCATATTATTAGAATTATTATTTTATTTTAAATAATTTAATTAGTATGAGAAAAGTTCAATATTGAGAACAATTTTTTTATCATATATATTTTTGAATATAACTATCAGAACTTTGAAATATTTGTACTCTCTCAAAAAGTATGAATAAGAAAAAAGTATGGCCTGAAATAAAAAAAAAAATTATATTTTCATATCAAATAGGGACTAAAAGGGTGTTTTTACTTAAATTATTTTACATGCTGAGAAGAATAATTTATACTTAAAATATATATATGAAGTTAAATAATATATATATATGTGAAGAATTATATACCTTATGATAGATCAAAAGTCTATTTACAAGACAAAAAAATGATAAATTATTTATAAAATTTTAAAAAATTAATAAACTATTGTAAATATTTTAAAAAATATATTCAAATTATGCTGTATCCAAAAAATATTTTTATTAAATTTGAATGTATTATTGAAAATTAAAATGTATGTGTAACTTCTTTAAAAAATAAAATTGAACTTTTAAATATTGAAACACTTTTTTATGTAAATTTTGAAAATTTAGTAAAAAATTTAAAATTAAGCGTGCTCGTATAGGAGCGCTCTTAGGATGTATGGCCTTCCCATTAGAATAAAACGGACTGCCTCGATAGTTAAGAATTTGAATTGTTATATTTTAATATTAATTGTTTGAAATATTTGGAAGTTATTTTCCTAATTATATTGCATCGAGACGGACAATTCTCGTCTTTTTTTTATTAATTTAATGACTAACCAATATTAACTTATATACCATCTTCATCTATGATCATTGTTATGAGTGCTTATTAAACTAATGATTTCATACAAATTAATAAGTTTTTAATCCTTTGATTTGTTCGATTGACAGTGATGCCTCATTAAGAGTGCTTGTTCTTTAGTTCACTCCTAAGTTTTTTTAGTAGCACAGAGCAAAGTGATCACATGCAATCATGATTTATTACTGAAGAAGATATAGGGAAATTTGAATTTATATCCCCAAATATTAAAGAGCTGTGTCACTTATTGATTTTCTTTTAAAAATATGATATATAGAAAATTTATTTCGAATCAAAATATTTTCATTTTAGATTAAGGACTATTTATTCAAAGTCTGCCTTGAGTAATATATGATCAAAAAAGATTTGAATCATATTTAAAGAAAGTTAGAGCTTTGTTCGAACCTTAAGCATGATTTGAAAGTTGCATGATCATGATTTGAATCTCATTTTAACAGGATTCACTATCAAAGATTAGATGTTTCCACGGCTGTTTTCATCGCTGCTAAATTTATTTTTAAAAATGGATATTTTTTGCAGCATTCGATAACAACTTTTTAAAACCGCCATAAAACTATTTTTAAAATATTACATTTTAATATCCCATGTTTTCTCTCCCGCTTGGGCATTCGTTTTGCTTGCCTGTCTCATTCTCCCTCCCGTGTCCTAGCTCTCGCTCCTCTGACAACTAAATCGTTCTCAAAGGTGAAATCCTTGATTTCGAATGGCTTTGACTCAAACAGCGCTCTACCTCACGCATCTTGTTCTCTTGACAAAGCAAAAAGGCCGAAGACCTCCTCCCTCTGTCACTCGCTATCATTCGCACACCCCAACCGAAGCCCTCTTCGCCTGCTTCTTGCCCTAACCGACATGATTTACACACCCCGGTACTCTTCCCTCCCGCATCTCCTTTCTCTCGGCCCTTTCTTATTCTTGCATGCAGTCAAGAGAGCGAACAAGAGAGGCGGAGGCAAAGAAGCCTTGCACGAAAGGGAGACAGAGCATTGCGAAAGCCTGATTTATTAGTAGTGATTCGAACTATGTTCGAACAATTTTGAACATGTTTTAAACCTAAGGGTTTGAATTTGATTTGAACTGTGATCAAACAACTTGGACTGAATAAGCAGATTTGAATATTTTTGAAATATATATGTTTAATATTGATTCATATAAAGTTCAAACATATATTCTAATAAGGTTTGAAAATCAAAATTTTCGGTATTTACATAGCTCTACGTTAGCTCTATTAAAATGACTTACTTTTTGATTAGCGAAGAAATCTCGAATTGACTAGCTCGATCGTCTAACTATTAAAGAGTGGCAGCAATGATATGGCAGCAATAAAAACCGGTGAAGTGTGGATCGAAGCAGGGGCGGATCCAGCTTCTTCTTTCAGGGTGGGCAAAAATATTTTTTTTTGTGGGGGATGGACAAAGATGCTTAGGATTTATAAAATGAGGGTAAAAAATTTTTTTGAGAGGGGGCAAAATGTCAAAAATATTCAAAATATTCCAAACAAACCCTCTAAAATAAAAAATAATAAATTTTTGAGGGGGGGCATGCCCATGGATCGAAGGGCTGGACATCGTTCTTCATATAAAAAGAGACGTAAAAAATATGAAGTATATTTTAATCCAAAACGATCTTTTAATTTTTTTTTTAACGATCTTTTAAATATATTTTCCTAAGAAAGAAAGAAATAATAATAATATTTATTCAATTTTCGGTATTCGGAGAGACATATAAAAAGATAATTCTCTTATATATCTTATTAGTCTAACATATACTGCCTAAATTTATTACAGATCGAAGGGGCAGCAGACCAAGGAGGAAGAGGGCCAAGCATTTGGGACACCTACACACATAAATTCCCAGGTCAAAATAAAAATATTATGCTATTCATGCCATAATTATTACTATTTTTAGGCTTTATTTGGAACGGTTTTTTTACTTCTTCTTAAAACAGTTTTTTAATACAAAAATAAACTTTTTATACTATAAAATTGCTTTAAGAAGCAGTAAGAAAACCATCTCAAATGAAGCATTAGCCGTCCTCATCAAAATCTCTCTTTTAATTTTCAGAAAGAATCGCAGATCGAAGCAATGGAGATGTCGCAGCCGACTCATATCACCGTTACAAGGCAAAAATAAGGCTTTACATGTCAACAGGCAATAGCCTCAAAAGAAAGTCAAATATAAAAGCAATTGTTATTAATTTTTCTCCATTTATGTCTGTTAATTTGTAGGAGGATGTACAGTTGCTTAAGGAATTGGGAATGGATGCCTACAGATTCTCCATTTCTTGGTCAAGAATATTGCCAAGTACAAATCTGATTTTTTAGAGCTATTTGCCGTTCAAAAAAGAGAAAAAAAGTATACCATAATTGGTATTTCAAATGTATTTTTCAGAGGGCCGAGGCAAAGTGAATGAGGAAGGGGTTCAATACTATAAAAATTTGATTAATGAACTGCTAGCAAATGGTAATTAGCAGTAATGAAGATTAGTATCTATTCTTTTGTATTAGTAATTTCTTATCATCTGACAAAATGAACTAAAAATGAAAAATTTTACAGGAATAGAGCCCTACGTTACAATATTCCATTGGGATCTACCAGAAGCATTGGATGCAGAATATGGAGGTTTTTTAAGTCACAAAATTGCGTAAGTATACATAAATTATAATAGATGTATTTGGGAAGGTTTTATTACTACTTCTTAAGCAATTTTTTAGAACAAAAATTAAAATTTTTGAACTTAAAAGCTGCTTTAAGAAACAGTAAGACTTCGTTTGAGACGGCTTTCTTACTGCTTCTTAAAGTAGCATTCTTTAAGAAGCAGTGAGAAAGCCGTCCGGAATGAATCCTTTGTCTGTTTGGATTTATAAGTAGGCGGTGTTTGTTCTGAAATTTGACAGTGAGGACTTCAAGAACTATGCGGATGTATGCTTCAGAGAGTTTGGCGATAGAGTCAAGTACTGGATCACTGTGAATGAAGCATTGATGTTTACTACGCTTGGATTTGGCCTTGGAATGCACGCTCCAGGTCACTGTACTGATGGTTTAGAAATCCAAGGATTAGGAAGACTTAATTGCCCAGTTGGAGGAGATTCTCTAAGAGAACCCTATATTGTCGCTCACAATATTCTTAGATCACATGCTGAAACAGTACATCTTTACAGAGAGAAATATAAGGTATTTTTATATGATTTTCTTTTTCTCTAATTGTTACATATCACTACAGGAAAAATGTCCATTACCGGCGGTTCTAACCGGCGGTTCATGGAAAACCGCCGTAAAGCCGCCGGTAGTCCATTAAACCGCCGGTTAATATAGCGTAACCGCCGGATTTCGACGTTTTTCCTGTAGTGTATATTCATACTATATTCTGGTACTTCTGATTATCTTCAATATTACTTTGTAGCCAACTCAACATGGAGAAATTGGAATTACGCACGTGACACAGTGGATGGTACCCATTGATGGTAGCCCTCTAAGTAAAGAGGCTCAAGAGAGAGCTCTGCACTTCAATTTAGGATGGTAAGAGCATTCATATGAAGTTGTTAACTTAACTGCCATATGTATAGTTGTTCTTGCACAGATATATATGATCTAGATAGACAAATATGTAATATTTAGGTTTTATTTGGGATGACTTTCTTAGTGCTTCTTAAAACAATTTTTTAGTACAAAATATAAATATTTTATACTCAAAAGATTATTTAAGAAGCAGTAAGAAAGCTATCCCAAATAAAATTTTAATTTTCTTTAAGGAAACACCTTTGATATATTAGAAACTTAATTATCTTTATTAGACAAATGAGTGATATAATTAATTACTTTCATATGCAGGTTTATGGATCCAATAAAGTTTGGAGACTATCCATTGTCAATGAGAGCTTTGGTGAGAGACAGACTCCCAGTTTTCACGCAAGAAGAGACAAAAAAACTTAAGAATTCGTACGATTTTATCGGTCTCAACTATTATACTTCGAGATTTGCAAGAAATCGACCACTACCAGCAAATTTCAAGCCAACTTCATACCTAGATGACTCATGCGTCGACATTACAGGTGAAGTAATTCTTATAATATTTATATAACAGAAAAGCCAAGTGATCAGTCCAGCTCTGTTCAGTCACTTCAACAATGGAAAGTAATTAACAAATTTGGTTCTTCTGTTAATGCAGCGGTAGATAACGAAGGATTCCCCATTGATCATGCAGAGGTAAGCAAACAAAATCAATGGAGATTTTGCGATTTTTTTTCCTGCAACAGTTAGATTGTCAAGGCGAGATGTTATATTTTGGAGTAACATTCCATTAAGCTGTTTGCAGCCTGGAAGTTGGATTAATGTTCATCCCAGAGGATTGAGGGAGCTTCTACTGTACATCAAAAACAGATATGATAGTCCTCCAATATACATCACTGAAAATGGTAAATTAATAATACGTATATATTACAGCTTTATACGACAAAATCGTCCGGTTTTCTCTCAGCAGCTACGCTTTAACTACGCTTTCACTCTAAACAGAGAGAAAACCGGATGATTCTCTCCGTCTGGTGTCCGCACCTAATAATTTCTCATTTTATACGTGTAGTTAATTACTTTCATCATATTTAAATTCATCATAAGAACAATTTTGAAACATGGCAGGTGTTATGGAAAAAGATCAAAAAGGGCAGCAACTCCACCTCCACCATGTACTTAATGATACACATCGAGCAGAGTATCTCGCTCTCCATCTTCATGAACTTAAAGAAGCTATAAGGTGAGTTATAATGCATGGCTTCTACTCAGAAAACTCTCAGAATAATGGAAATACAACGATGTAAATGACAATGTACTTGAATGAGTTACATAGCAAAGTCAAGTAATTCAGCGAGCTATTGTAATAAATTTCTTGGAAAAAATTTTTTGCAGGATGGGAGTAGATGCGAGGGGGTACTTCACTTGGTCTTTAATCGATAACTTTGAGTGGTCAGATGGGTTCACTTCTCGACTTGGACTTCACTTCATTGACTACTATGGCTCTCACAAACCGCATCCCGATGAGAATGAGAAGGCTCCTTCACCGTCACATCTTCGTAGGATTCCGAAGCAATCTGTCACCTGGTTCAAGAGATTTCTTGATCGTTAGAAATTGACAAACCATTAATTAAGCTTCTAATATTCTACTAAGTTTGTTTTCCTTGACTCAAGTGTGTGTTTACCTATCTTTTGCACAATCATGTTTTATTATGTTGTGTTTTGCTTGTATGCTTTTGAGACTTGTTATGGCCCTTTTAAATTTAAGTGAATTGCTTTAATTTATGTGGAGTTAAGTTTCATGTTTTCATCACAATAAGTTTTTATTATTATTATTATGTAGTTGTTTTTTAGTAATCTTTTATTAATCTAAACTAGCGATGAAACCATTATAATTGAATTTGTTTGTAGTTTTTGTGCGGTGGAAGATGGATTTGACTCTTCTTTATAATTAAAGTTTTGTTTAGGAAAATTTTCTTTCTAGTACAAAAATTTTTAGTTCAAGAAATTTTTGGAACTAAAAGTTTTTGTAATAGAAAGCGGTTTAGAAAGCAGCAAGAAAATTGTCCCAAACAAAACATAAATTATTGATCAATTTGCATGGATGTTGAAGCTGAGAGCTCACATGATCAGTGTTGTTAATGTTACATTGTGTTGATAAATTCTAGTTAATTGAAGTTTGATTACGTTGAGTTATCATATCACGTATCTGATATTATTTAGTATTTCATTTAAAATGCAATAAAATTATATCAAATCATTCAAAATGATCAAATTTATAATATATCCAAACCTGCATGGTGAAAGCATATGAAATCATAAAATAATATTTTTTTTGATAAATTTAGGTGAGATAAAATTCATAAAAATCAAAATTAATGAAAACGGAAGTAAGAGATTAGTCACGCACAACACAAAATGATCAAATTTATAATATATCCAAACTTGCATGGTGAAAGCATATGAAATCATAAAATAATTTTTTTTTTTTTTGATAAATTTAGGTGAGATAAAATTCGTAAAAATCAAAATTATTGAAAACGGAAGTAAGAGATTAGTCACTTACAACAAATTGAATAAAACCTGTGATATGATTGACTAACAAATATGATCCAAAAACATTTTCTCTATCTTCTCTTCTGCCACTCTTTCAATTTCTTCAAGGCCAAGCAACCAAGTGCTAGGGCACCGAAGATGTGAAGAAGATCAACCGATGAACAAGCGTCACATTCAAACCTAAAAAAATTAGGGAGAGTTAATGTAAAGTTTCATTGTCGTAAATATAGACAAAGTGGACGCAACAACATAACTTGTGATAAGAGAACGCATACCAAGGATAGACATGGACATGCATAGGAAGTTGTATAACCATTGATTGAAATGACAAGTCATATCATCACATCAATTTCATAACATATATAACAATTTTCATTTAAAATTGATAATTTCTTAAACTATCTCTTGGACAGTTAGAGAGTAAAACACATATTAAACCTGCTTTGGACATTCTCACTCAAGGATCTTCTAATACAAAACTTTTAGTAAGTTCAATTAAATTAAAATTATAACTAAAAATATTATTAATTTCTCTTATTAAACAAACTATTAATAAAGAATTTTTTTTGTGCATACTAAGGTTTCGTTCGGAACATCATTTTTACTGTTTTTTAAAATAAATTTTTAATACAATTTTTTTTTTTAATATTTCACTAAAAATCTGCTCTATAAACAGTATAAAGTGTCTCAAAAAATTCTAAATTCTCAAGGAAGAAAATTATTGCTCCATTGATATCCCCATCCCCCATTGCTTGGATTTTGATCGAATAAAAACGCTTATCCATTTATTATATTATACTATCTTAAAACACAAGCGATGTAAATGTTGTTCAGACTTCTTCCCTAGCAAAGGAATTGTAGATCCTCCTCTATTGCTCTCTTTTACAATTGTCTGTTTCGATTTAGATAGGATTAATAAATAAAAATATAAAAATAGAGCTTTAAATTTTGTTTGGGATAACTCTCTTACTGCTTTCTAAAATAATTTTTTGATATAAAAATTTTTGTACTAAAAATTTATTTAAAAAAATATCTGAAGAGTTCTTTTAAAATTTTGAAAAAACTTTTAAAATTAAAAAAAAAAAAAAAAAAAACTATGGATAACTAAGGATGCATTTAAGATGACTGATGTTTTTTATAAAATTATTTGTGAAGTTATTTTCGGTAAAACAATTTAGCTATTTGATTATAAAAAAATAAATTTCAACTCAAATATTTTTTTAAAATAATGAAAACATAAAAAAAAATGATAATAGACAAACAAAATTTTAATTACTATCATAATAATAAAATAATGAGTAAGTTACCCCAAATAAACTCTAAGGTTTCGTTTGGGACGGCTTTTTTATTGCTTCTTAAAATAGTTTTTTAGTGTAAAAATTTTAATTTTTAAAGTAAAAAGCTATTTAAAAACAATAAAAAAACGTACCAAACGAAACCTAAGTCTAAACAAATCAATGAAATTTCCTCACCTTAAGCCCCAAAAAAGTCAAATGGAAGCAATTGGTGGATTTTTTTATTTTTAATTTTTTTTTTTGGTGTAATATAAAGTTATTAAATTGGCATCTTAGGGTGGATAATGAAACTACCAAACTCAAAGCACCAGTCCACTGCCAAAGAGATTGCTAGATGCTTTTTTATTACACTAAAAAAAAATTAGTTGCATTATTACGACAATTGGCTTAAAAACAAATTAGTAATTACATACTTATTTTACATGTTCAGATATCTTGTAAATATATAATTAATACTAAATTATGAGGTATCTGTTAGATCATTTAACACTCAATTAAAACATTTAGGTTTATGCCTTTATTTGCAATTTTTTTTTTTTTTTTTTTGGGAAATCTACATAAAACGCTCCTCCCAGCCCAGCCTATCATTGAAAGTCAAGCTACTTTATTTCTAAAATCTTTAACATTCGATCAAAATTTGTTTTTATCATTTACAGATTTTTTATAATAAAATTTGAAATAATATGTAGAGAGAGAGAGAGGCAAAGTGAGCTTGAAAAAAAGTCAAACATGATCTGTTTGGGGTAGCTTTGTAGCAATCATAATTTCATTTAACTACTATTTTATATTTTTCAATCTGCCTTTAAAGATAACAAGAGCTCTTTCTTCAAATGATAATCCAAAAAGTTGTTTTGATAATCCAAAATTTTAAATCTACACCAAAACTTCATGTTAGTTTTATACAATTTGGTAGCTTATATGGCTACATAGGTTTAGTGCTTGCTTTTGTTTATGTGTATCCTATTATGTTGCTACATATTTATAAATACCTAGCTATTGATTGTAATTGGCAGATTTGGAGATTAATAAAATTAGAGTTTTACTTTGTTGTGTATTCTTGTATCCTAAGATTGGCTCTTAGGTGGTGGGTTCTTTCTCCAAGGAGTTCTTGGAGTGGTGTCCGACGACCATCACTGGATCGTCGACGTGAATTCGTCGAGCCCCCTTCAGTCCGGAATCACTTTTTAAATTTAATGAACTTTTATTTAATGGAATGAGATTACATCATTTTTTGAGCTTTGGTTGTTCTAATTTTATTGATTTTGAACTTGTAATATTCATTTGATTTTGTTTTTATAAAATGTTATCATGTCTTGAATGCTTATTAAATTTTAGGTAATTGGAAGTGGTAGGATCTCAACATCTTAGTGCTCCCAATTTAATTTTTTTCATTGCTCAAATGTAACAAAATTGAAGAGGCATCTTGTTACTCCCAAGCTAATTTTGCATTTGCAAATAGATGATGCAACATATTTTATTTTTAATTGCACAACATTGGATCATATTGCACTTGATTTTAATTTAGCAAAAGTTCCTTACAATATGTTTACAGTTTAATTGCTTTCTTTCATGAAGGATTATATTTGACTCTCAAGTATTACTTTAAGCAATATACTTGATCATTACTCGGCTCATTTAAATGTTTATTGTATAATCATAACTTTAGATAGTAGTATAAAAATATAGTTATAAATATTTATTTTAGTCATAAATATTTTTACCAATCATAATTTATAAAATATAACTAATATTTTTAAAATTATAACTATTAATTTCTCTTATTAAACATATATATATATATTCGTTTGGAAGATCATTCTTACTATTTTTTAAAATAAAATTTTAATACAAGATTTTCTTTTTTAAAAATTATTTCACTAAAAATCTGCTCTATAAACAGTATGAAAGTGTCTAAAAAAATCCTAAATTATCAAGGAAGAAAATTATTGCTCCATTGATATCCCCATCCCCCATTGCTTGGATTTTGATCGAATAAAAACGCTTATCCATCTATTATAATATCTTAAAACGTACACAAGCGATGTAAATGTTGTTCAGCCCTAGCAAAGGAATTGTAGATCACAATTGCCGCTTCGATTTAGATAGGATTAATAAATTTGTTTTTATTTTATTTTATTTTATTTATTTTTTTTTTTTTTTGGGAAATCTACATAAAAAACGCTCCTCCCAGCCCAGCCCATCATTGAAAGTCCAGCTACTTTATTTCTAAAATCTTTAACATTCGATTAAATTTTGTTTTTATCTTTTACAGATTTTTTATAATAAAATTTGAAATAATATGTATAGAGAGAGAGAGAAAGAGAGGCAAAGTGAGCTTGAAAAAAAGTCAAACATGATCTTTTGGGGCAGCTTTATAACAATCATAATTTCATTTAGCTACTATTTTATATTTTTTTTTTGGGACATTTAGGCCATTTAAGGCAAACTCACACACACAACGCATACACATAGACTCGAACCTTAGACCTCTTAGTAGGAAGCCTTAGCTCTCAACCAATAGGCCAAGGAGAGTTGTGTACTATTTTATATTTTTCATTCTGCTTTTAAAGATAACAAGCATTCTTTCTTTAAATGATAATCTAAAAAGTTGTTTTGATAATCCAAAATTTTAAATCTACACCAAAACTTCAGGCTAGTTTTTTTCCATTTGGTAGCTTATAAGATTACATAGGTTTAGTGCTTGTTTTTGTTTATGTGTATACTATTATGTTGCTACATATCTATAAATATCTAGCCATTGATTGTAATTGACAGATTTGGAGATTAATAAAATTAGAGTTTTACTCTATTGTGAATTCATGTATCTTAAGATTTGTTCTTAGGTGGTGGATTGTTTCTCCAATGAGTTTTTTGAGTGGTGTCCAACGACCATCACCAGATCGTTAACGTGAATTCGTCGAGCCCCCTCCTGTCCGTTGTCACTTTTTAAATTTAATGAACTTTTATTAAATGGAATGAGGTTACATCATTTTTTGAGCTTTGGTTGTACTAATTTTATTGATTTTGAACTTGTAATATTCATTTGATTTTGTTTTTATAAAATGTTATCATGTCTTGAATGCTTATTAAATTTTAGTTAATTGGAAGTGGTAGGATCTCAACATCTTAGTGCTCCCAATTTAATTTTGCTTGTGCATTTGGATAATGCAAATTTTTTTTCATTGCTCAAATGTAACAAAATTGAAGAGGCATCTTGTTACTCCCAAGCTAATTTTGCATTTACAAATAGATGATGCAACATATTTTATTTTTAATTGCACAACATTGGATCATATTGCACTTGATTTTAATTTAGCAAAAGTTCCTTACAATATGTTTACAGTTTAATTGCTCTCTTTCATGAAGGATTATATTTTACTCTCAAGTATTACTTTAAGCAATATACTTGATCATTACTCGGCTCATTTAAATGTTTATTGTATAATCATAACTTTAGATAGTAGTATAAAAATATAGTTAAATATTTATTTTAGTCATAAATATTTTTACCAATCATAATTTATAAAATATAACTAAAATTTTTAAAATTATAACTAAAATACTATTAATTTCTCTTATTAAACAAATGATTTTTTTTTTGAAAAATTATAATTACTTAATTGAAATTTATATCTAATAGATAGTTTAATTAAAAATTACTAAAATATTCCTAATTTTAATATCATTAAGTCCAACATCCATTAGTTCGGATGTTGGGACTAAAATGATCACATTTTAAAGAGTTGAGGGATCAAAATAATCTCTCAAAATAGTTGTGGATCATTTTAATCGTTCCTAAAGAGTTGAGGGACCATTTTTGCCATTTTATATGTATATTTATATACACGAAAAATATATGAGCTTCAGAGGTAGGAACTGATCCTGACAATTGTTGATCAGGATTTGTTTGTGTTGAAATAGAATTGGCAAAATTATAATTTTTTTTAAAAGACATGAATAAAAAGGCTCTTAAAGCTTTTGCTTTATGTGTGATTTAAAGTAGTCAAGTTATATTTTTAAAAATTAATTAATGTGTTCATATTTAAGAGCATGATACAATCGTTCTTTCTGAATCTTCCTTTTCTAGCTTTTCAAGAGAATTTGAAAATGTTGAGCCTCTTTTTTGGTTTTTTAAAAATTATTTTTCTTTGATTTTATGATGAGTATCTGCATGAAATTATACATTTTTTTTTTAATTGGCTAAGAATTTTCTATGCATATCTTTTCATAAGGTGTTAGAATGGGAAAGCTTTTAGATCTATATGCAAAGTTTTTGATGGAAGAGGCTATTTATTTTTTATTTCTTACTTTGTTTGAAAAAAAATTTACATGGATAGTTATTCCCCATCCTTCAGAACAAAAAGAATAAATTAGATATTTAAGGATATATTAAGAATGGTTGCAGTTTGTTATAATTTTTCTTTGAAGTGGTTATGGGTAAAACAACTTAATTAATTTGATTATAAAAAAAAAAAAACTTTCAATACAAAATTTTAAGGAATTAATGAAAAGACAACAAAAAGATAATAGCCAAACAAAATTTTGATTACTATCAAAATAATAAAACAATGAGAAAGTTGTTAAAAACAAATTGTTTTGCTTCGTTTGGAATAATTTTCTCACTGTTTCATAAAATAACTATGTTACTTTCATTTAACTACTACTTTATATTTTCACACTGCTTTTCAAAAATTTATATGATATAAAGCTGTTTTTATAACCAAAACAACTATGCTACTTTCACGACAACAACACATTTTATAAAAAAAAACAAGTCATTCCAAACAAACCCTTGAACTACTCCTAGAGGCCTGACTCCACTCAAAACAATATCAAATTAACACAAAACTAGAGCAACAATTAAGATTTCAGACAGATATTACAAGCCAACAAGGAATTCAGAAAATGGCAGAAGATAAAATAGTGAAATTTAAATCTACACCAAAACAACAGAAGTAGGGCCTGCAGGTTAAGATAACAAACCTTCTTTCTTCAGATGATAATCCAAAAAGTTGCAAAAGTACAGGCTCAAAAGTGATTCATAGTTCTGTTACAAAAATAAGGTTTCGTTTAGAATGGCTTTCTTGCTGCTTCTTAAAGCAGCTTTCTAGTAGAAATTTTTTACTAGAAAGCTGCTTTAAGAAGCAGCAAAAAAGCCATACCAAACCAAGCCTAAGTCAATTGCTCTTTTGCATTTTTATATAAAACTTCAAGTTCTTATACACTTGTTCCCACAATTAGCAGCATATACATAATGAAGGAGATTGCAGACTAGAACATCAGAGTTTAAGAGATTAGGACTGCACAAAACACAATATTGCAGGTCATGTTTCTAAGACTCTTTGCTGAGCTTTTGTTTTTTCATGGACTTTGGTGTGGGTTTTGGTGATTCTTTGAAAGCTGATGGACAGAGATTATTTACAGTGCAGATGTTGCATTTCGGCCTGAGGGGAGTACACACAGTTTGTCCAAAACCAACCTGAACCGAATCAACTATGGAAGTAAGCTCAATTACTTTGCATTCAGAAAAGCAGAATGAAGCATCGCGTTTCCAGAACACTTTTCATTTGCAATTAAAGCAAGTTTTTTATGAACAGAGGATCAATAATATATATATAATTCATATATTATCTATTTGAGGCAGCTTTATAACAATCATAATTTCCTGATTTCATTTGCCAAATACTTTATGATTTTCAAAAATTTATGTGATGTAATTTTGCATTTATAACCAGAATAACTATGTTGATTTCACGACAGCAGCTTTACAACACATTTTATAAAAAACAAGTCATTCCAAACAGGTGTGCAGATGTCAAACGTCGACCGGAGACCAACCAGAATGTGCCACGTCACTACTTGCTTGATATTGTGGCTCGGTACTGCTCGGTATTGCTCGGTATCGCAGCTCGGTACTACTAACATGATACATTTTGATTGGTCTCCAGATGTTCTTCGTCCGGTCTCCGCACAGAATAATTTCTCTCCAAACAAACCCTAAGACTACTCCTAGAGGCATGACTCCACTCAAAATAATATCAAATTAGCACAAAACTATAGCAACAATTAAGATTTCAGACAGATATTACAAGCTAACAAGGAATTAAGAAAATGATAGAAGATAAAATAGTGAAATTAAATCTACACCAAAACAACAGAAGTAGGGCCTGCAGGTTAAGATAACAAGCCTTCTTTCTTCAGATGATAATCCAAAAAGTTGCACAAGTACAGGCTCAAAAGTGATTCATAGTTCTGTCACAAAAATAAGGCTTCGTTTGTAATGACTTTTTTGCTGCTTCTTAAAGCAACTTTCTAGTACAAATTTTTTACTAGAAAGCTGCTTTAAGAAGCAGCAAAAAAGTCGTCCCAAACGAAGCCTAAGTCAATTGCTCTTTTGCTTTTTTATATAAAACTTCAAGTTCTTAATTCTTATACACTTGTTCCCATAATTAGCAGCATATACATATTGAAGGAGATTGCAGACTAGAACATCAGAGTTTAAGAGATTAGGACTGCACAAAACACAATATTGCAGGTCATGTTTCTAAGACTCTTTGCTGGGCTTTTGTTTTTTCATGAACTTTGGTGTGGGTTTTGGTGACTCTTTGAAAGCTGATGGACAGAGATTATTTACAGTGCAGATGTTGCATTTCGGCCTGAGAGGAGTACACACAGTTTGTCCAAAACCAACCTGAACCGAATCAACTATTAGAAGTAAGCTCCAAATCCTTTGCATTCAGAAAAGCAGAATGAAGCACCGCGTTTCCAGAACACTTTTTATTTGCAATTAAAGCAAGTTTTTTATGAACAGAGGATCAATAATATATATATAATTTTTGTACTAAAAAGCTGTTTTAAGAAGCAATAAGAAAACTGTCCCACACGAAGCCTAAATATTAAAAAAAAAAGTAAGTTTAAAACAGCAGTATGCAATGAGTGCGATTACTACCATCTGCAATATGCTAAAAAAAAGTTCATTTTGATTTGTTGGTTGGAAGTTTTGGCTATCAACTAAGAAGTCTTGAATTCTAATATTGCATATGTGATGTGTGTGTGAGTTTATCTTAAGTAGTCTAAATTTTCAAAAAAAAAATTGTTAGCATAAGATATAACATACCAGAAGTGGATTAATTGGATCCCATTCTTCTTTTGGAAGCCATTTCTGTAAACACACTCTTGTTTCTTCAGGAGAACGAGTTTTCTAGCAAATCAGTAAAAAAGAATGAAAATATTTAAATTCTTAATTTTAAAAAATAAAGATATTATACTACAAATAAAGTAGATAGTAGTATCATACGATGCATGGGAGAATAAGAGATTAGGACTAATATAATAATTTTTTATTTTTAATATTTGTAATTCTTTTATTTAATTTTTTTGGCTAGTTTGTTGTACAAATAAAAATAATAAATAATCTAATTTAGTAAGATAAACTAATATATTATGAAATGATTTTAACAACATAGTTAATTAAAAATATTTTTTTTCTGACTACTTAATATTTAAAACTAAACTTTAAAGTGGCTGAAATCTTGAAATAATTACAAAAAGAGAAGTTCATTTCAAATTAATTATTTACCTTATTTAAGATAAGAATGTAATAATTAGAAGAGTACATCATATATAAATCAGACTTGATATTAGATTCATTGAATGTATATGATTTGGCTCCTTTATGACTTTATCTTTTATTAAAAAAATATTTCTTTCTTCACTACTTGGATTGAAAATATCAAAATTTTGAGTAAACTCCATTTAAAAATGGAATCCTCTCCTTTCACTAGTTTTAAGATGGATGATTCTCTTTTTTAATATGAATATAAAGAGTTACTCAACCATAGAAAAGAAAAAATAATTTAGGGACATTTAGGCCTATTAAGGTGAGTCTCACACACACATCGCATACACAAGACTCGAACCCAAGACATCTTAGTTAGTAGCCTAAGTACTAATGCATACCTGCATTGCGCCTGGCCGCGATACCCAGCCCAGACGATTACAAATGCGATGCACATGAGTGTCGACACATATTCCTTGCACGTTACGCCATGCAACATTCATAACCTATTTAAGATTTAAAATTATCAAAAAAACAAGAACATAACTTAATGTAGCATTGACATTCTCTTATGCTTAAATATACCAGATAAGCCATTTTAGGACCGATTCCAGGAAGGGAAAGCAGGTCATCCAAGGAATTTGGAATATCTCCTCCATACTTATTGAGACAAACTTCAGCTACTTTCTTCATGTACTTGGCTTTCCTCAAGTAAAATCCAACCTATCAAAAACCAATAAAATGAAATTCATAGCCATTATTGCAAAAATAGCCATGATGAGAAAATATTTCTTCATCGACAATTATAATATCATTTACATGAAACTGGCTTTTAAGGACAAATTCAAGAAGCTCTTGGAAGAGACCTAAAATTACTCACAATCACCCATCAAAAAAACAAACGCATCCAGTTGTTAACAGCATTGCCTAAAGCATTGCAAGCTAGCATGAAATCCCGAAAATTAGTTTGAAAGGAAAACTGACAAGGAAATTAGAATGATCATTAAAACAATTAGTTTGATTGATGCAGCACATGGAACAAAATCAAGAATTATGGCTAGAACAAAATTTAGAATTAACCAAATCAGTTCATGAAAACAAATTATACTACTTTTATTAGGTTATTTTATTTAAATTAGGTAGACGTTATCCATTTGGATAATCTGGTTAAAATTGCAATGAATAATCAGGTCATTTTATTTAAATTAGGTAGACATTATCAATTTGGATAATCAAGTTTACGTTGCAATTAATTATCAGGTTATTTTATTTAAATCAGGTAGACGTTATCCATTTGGATAACCCTCCCTCCCTCCTGACCAGTGACCACTGAACACCAACCTCCTCACAGAACTAAGTACAGCCGTCAAGCCAGGGAATACGAGGTAGAAGGAATCAAAAGTGACTTGCAAATCCATAAGATTCACACCAATTCGGTATCAAAGCCAAATTTCCTAATGATAAATGTATCTAAATCCCTATCTTGAAGCCATATGAATTTATTTTATCTATTATCTTGCCACTGGTAAAGCCATGAAAGTTGATCTGTATAAGATTCATAGCTTATACCTCGAAGATCTATCATAAGCATAAGAAACATCTTACGGAGTTGTAAAATCCGCCTTATTCAATTTGAAATAATCGTTACAAATTTATTAGAACGTTTACCAATCTCATAAGCCTCAAAGTACACAACATTATCTTTCTTATTCTAAAATCCTAAAGTTCGGAATCAATGGCATACATCAAGATCGAATGGATCCTATAAAAGATAAGTGATGATGGCGAAGTTCACAAATTGAGACTTGCCTCTAGAACATTATGTGCTCGTGAAGGTTTGATCGAATTCTACATGAAGGTTTGATCTTTGTAGAACTCAAGCTTTTTAATTCTTTGAGGCAATTTATCAAGTTCACACAGAAATTGAATTTAAAAAGCCTAAATTGCTTGTGTTGTTATTTATTGTGGACCACCGAGATCGTACGTACCTAGTGGATGGAGCTTCCAAAAATACGAGATCCGGAGAAGGGTTAATGTATGTGAATGTACACCATGTTTGCAAATATGATGTTTCCATCAAACAAATTTGAGACCTCCAGATTAAACCGGACAATTTAAAAACTACATTATTGGTATACATAGACCTAACCAACCCCACCAAATATATAAACCCAACAGTCCAGTCATTGAAACAAAGCTGATTAAGAGAAATGTATCATAACATGAATTTTTAAGTCATAAGATAGTAGATACCGGATAAATCAGTTTTGCAATGGTTGCTTCATCAGTTTCAACAATCGCAGCAGCATCAACTAGACCTTTCTCAGAAAGACGTTGCATGGCTCCTGGAATCCTAACGAAGTTCATCAAATTCAATAACAAAATCATATCCCGTCACCGGATATCACAAAATTTTAAGAAATATAAGAATATGCTTGACAATCAAATGAAAATGATGAGCCAACCCGACTTCGTATGAGTTATAAGAACTTGCCATGGTTAACTTCATCCTTGGTTTGGCTGGATAGAAGAGAAGATACTAAAACTGCAAATCTTCTTTCCTGGTATTAGTCAGAGAAGTACTTGTGGGAAACTAGTAATTGCACATCACAACACATACATAATGAAACATTTAGATCTCGAGAGTTTAAAGAGTAAGGTTTGATTTGCTTCATAAAAGAATGCACATGCGTGAAGTCAAATGACGCATAAACACAGAGGTCAAAGGATACGGAATAAAGATCCTAGCGTGCAATAATGACATTTATAGATACAGTATAATTGATTGATGCAGTCGATTTGGCTATGGAACAGCCAAAGAAATTTTCTCAGTTGCTTTCATTCCCAAACCTAAACGAACAAACAATGTTCCAAAACCGAAACTGAGGCAAGTGTAATTTACTTGGGTTTGGTTCAGTTTATGACAAACCCAAATTTCAGAGTTCACTACCAAGCCAAGATTTGAATTCGTATCCAAACTTTTTTTCTTGTGTTAATTCTGGATTATATTATTTAATCTACTATGGACATTGGACTATCTTATAAAACTCAAAAATCTAAGCAAGTAGATCAAATTTTGACAAATGTGATTTTCTAGGCTCAATATCAGACCAAAATCAAAGAAACTGAACATAGCAAAATGTTCTAAGTCAAATTTTAAAAGAATGGAATCAAACTAACCTAATAGCATGAGGTCAGTTGACTTGACCCTTTTGGTTTAATCTTATTAATGCAACCAAGAACCTTCATAATTATGATACAACAACAAAAACAACAATAATAAGCCATTATCCCACTATGTGGGGTCGGCTACATGAATCCATTTTCTCCATTGTGTTTTGTTAAGAGTCAAATTCTTATCTAAATTTAATAAAGAAATATCATTTTAATATTTTCTAACTAACATATCATCAAAAAATTATCTTGATCAAGCACGAATCTCGAGTCAAAATCAAGTTGAAAATTTCTGAAATAAAAATAGGGACCATCCAAGCTCTGATTTTAACAAACTTACAGTCAAACTGAACGTCTCAGAATTGCCAACCCAACAACACCAAACTCGACTCAATCTGAGCCCAAATGGGTTCAAATCAAAGATCCAAAGCGCCTTTAGAAAGTTCAAACCATAAATTGGACGACCAAACGAATTTCAAACGTGACATGCTTATAGTCGAATCGAGTGGATCAACGAGAAGAATCCAAAGAGCCCAAGATCGCCAAATTTTAATATCATTAAGACATTCAAATGTTCAGTAAACAGTCCACGATCAAGGGAATCAACATCGGTCATCCATTCAAACCACTCCCAACTTACCCTTGATCTTCCGCTCATTTACCGATCATGTCACTCTAAAAAATCTATAAATAGACCCCTCATTTCTAATGGAGGGGGACCCAAACAAGGAAGAGAAATCTGAGATCTCTCTTGCAACAAAGCTCCTCCTCGACCATCATTCGGACCTCCGCCAAACCACCGACTGATGCCAGACTTCTACCCGGCCACCGACTAACACCGGACTTCCGCCCGGTCACAGACTGACGCCGAATTTCAGCCCGGCCACCGACCAACGTCGGACTTTTGCTCGACCACCGACTAGCATCAGACCCTCATCTGATCTCCGTTTGTCACTAGATTTCAACCAGACGGTTGATTATTGTAATTTGATGGTCCTCAAGGATGGTTCAGTCACCTGTAATCTACCAAAAAAACTAGTGGAATTGTTTCACCCCGTAGTTTTTCCCTTTTTCATGATTTTCCACGTAAAGCTTTTTTGCGTTCTCTGTTTGTGTGTTGGATATCTGTACAATGCTGAGACGTAAAATTCTACTCTATCGCCACGTATATTCTAGCCCGTAACAGTTTGACACCGTTTATAGGAAGCTTAAACTTGTTATCCTAAGTATTGCTTCAATGGTCAACAGGCATAGCAATTGTATTTTGGGAGCCTCTCACTTCAACTCACACCAATCCAGGAATTAATCCATGAATCAAGGCACTAGGTGTCTGCCTCTTTTTATCCTGGTGGGAGAAACCCTGCCGGGGAAGGGACATCAAGACCATCCCAGGAAAATCACATTCGAAACATGAAAGAATCTCAAAATAAGATCTTTTAACTTCTACAAGAGACCCGAGAACCAATGCTAGCACAACAAGATGAGGATCTTCTCTCTCGAGATCCACCACTAACTGAAGGTGTTCAACCTGAACATCTTCATACAGATAATCCTCTTCCTCAGTCAAGGGGTCGTCCTAGAACATGCAAGATATCGACATTGTTGACACCGCTAACTCTATCCATCCTTGTCGCCCCATTTGGCTAGCCCACATTCCTCCAGACATCCCAGAGGACTTTGGCCCAACCTCATGTTGTTGGGATCCCACGCAACGCCCTACATCATGAATTGCAATGATTGGTCCGAGACGAGTTCCCCATGAGAGGTGGAAGACAATTTTTTCATCAGTGGGACTTTTAGGAGTCATCACCCCTGATTGAGGCCATCATTTAACACCCAATTCCGGCAGGATTCAAACTACCAAGCATCAATTCTTACGACGGGACATCCGACCCCTACGAGCATATTGATCAGTATCGAACCATTATGCATATCCAACGAGCATTAGATGTGCTTCTCTATCAAGTTTTCCCGCCACCCTCAAAGGGTAAGCTCGAACATGGTTCTATTCGATTCCAGCCGGAATCATTCTCACGTTCGTCAAATATTCATCGAACAATTTGTTGACAATTAAAGAATAGTTAAAGATTCTTCCCACCTCTTAGGAATTCGCCAAAGTAAAAGTAAGTCCCTCAAAGAATACTTTCAAGGATTTTCTACGGAGGCTCAACAAATTCCAGGGATAGATCCCGAATTGCTAAGATGCGTTCTTCTCGGAGGGCTTCGTCTCGGCCCCTTTTATACTGCACTCATGTGAGACACGGTTCATTCATACGTTGATATGATGTATTTAGTGGAGGCACAAATCTCTACATATGAAGTCATTAATGCTTATAGAAAGCAGTTTGAGCAAACAAATGTAAAGCGTAAAAGTGCATCAGGGACGGATAATCCATCATTGCAGTGAAATAAGCAAGAAAATTATAACTTGCCCTCTCGACCCTCACAACCGCGACGAGAGCCTCATTAAGAAAAAGAGTATATGTCCTTAATGTATCTCGGGCAAATGTCTTGATGGTCATCCAAGATTAGGAGAACGTGAAGTGGCGAATATTGTATCATGAGACTTGATAGTGCAAGTACTAGTCGGGCTGAGTCATGACACTTATACCTATAAAAAGTCTTAACCCTAAAACTAAACAAAATACTAAATTTCAGGGCAGCATATTTGGATTATATAAACTACATCCTGAATGTACTTCCATTTAATTCCTACCATCTCTAACTTTCGATCCAACGGATTCACTAGACTAACTCAAAAACTGTTTACGGTAACATCAAATATCCTCAACTCAGGAAATTCATTTTACAATTGGAATATCTTTAGAGTTTGATTGAACAAACTGCATATAGATTTCCTTGAAACTTAATAAGAATGGAATGTTTTTAAAAACCATTTTAGTTAATTACTTTCTTCATTCTCCATCAACGCCCTTAGTTCAGGGTGAAGGTAAAGCAAAGAAATTTTAGTCACCGAATAGCATGGCTCCTGATTTGGCTTTTTATCTTACAAGTATCAGAGATAAAGAGAGAGAATTCAAGTTAAATCGTAGAGTTATTATGACAACTTTCTCATAGTGAAGCTATTATTATAAGTAATCAATAATGAAAATAGAAAAAAAATGTTAACAGGTGAAGATAAAGTGACCATACATTTAATTTTATCTAAAAACAATTTCACATAATTTACAAATTGAATATAATTTTAATAGTAAAAATTTGCATAAGCAAGTCTAAAAGAGCAAACACCAATAGGTTCTCTCATCTTCTCAATGATGAATTTAAAGGTTAACCATACCTTGGGAGGAAGAAAACTACCAGCCTTTTCACATCCCTTGGAATCTACCGGAGCATTTCCGGAGAACCTCATTTTCTTTATCCCGTCAAGAACCATTTCCCAGTTCGCGGGCATTTCCACTGTGTCAGAAGCAAAATTCAAAAAAATTGTCCATTAGAACTAACAATTGTTTAGAAATGCATAATTGCGCCAACAAGAGGAATTAATGGCTTAAAATTAGGGATCATTCAGGTCATACTCTGCCCTATAGAAGTAACTTTTGACTTGATGGAAATGGTTTTCACCCTTTTTGTATCAAGAATGTCAGTAGTACCTATAGGATAATATCCAATAGAACCATAAATCTCAATCCATCAGATAAATAAAATAATTCAACTTAGCTGAAACTAAACATCAAGATGTCTTTCAACATCTTTAAAGTACTGAAATTTAAAGCATAAACAGGAAAAGCTAAACATAAAGAAGAGTTGCATAAATGTGTTGAAGTTTAAACCTAAATGTGGCTTGTATTTAAGCTTCTCAATTTGGATTAGAGAATAGCTTAAAACATTTTTTTTTTTTTTTTTTTGCTAGGATTGATGAAATATTACAATGTTGCCAAGGAATAAAAGATATTTTGGATGGGTACATACCCTGGGTGGATTTTAGTATGGGGGCTTTGGGGGCACGGGCCCCCACTTAATGGCTAATTAAGTTTATTTATGGCTCATTAAATATAGGTTAAAGCAAATTATTATTATTATTATTATTTATTAGGCTTTTTTGCCATCCCCAATCCCGCCGCTACCTTTTCACACGCACACTGACCAAAATCACACGGACCGAAATCATGTAAGACTTCTTTCATGCGCACACGAACTGAGGCCGGAAGCGCTTTAACGCCCTTCTTTAATCTTGTCCAAAACGCCTAGCCACCAGTCCTTTCAAACAGTTCACGACAACTTTATAAGTTGCAACGAGTCGGCAGTCGGTAGGTTATCTTAGCATCTCTCTCTCTCCTCTCTCTCTCTTCTCTTCTCTCTCTCTTCTTCCTCTCTCTCTCCCCCTTACCGATTTTCTCTCCATGACTCTAAATATTACAGCAAATCTTAAAGTAATATGTCCATACATGTTTTATAACTTATGAAAAATTTTGTTTTATCCATGGAAAACCCAAGCTTGATTTCTACTAATTAGTTATTTATCATTTGATTAACATAAGCATTGTTGGCGTCCTGGAGTATTCGCGCGGCGGTAGATGAAATATAGTTTAGAATTGTCTTAGCATTGTACGAAGATGCCACGCACACAATCAGAAATAAGTGAAGAGGGTGTAAGCATTCATAAGAGACACCAGAGTTTTTTTACGGTGGAAAACACCCTAAGAAAAGGGTGGAAAAACCACGAGGGCCTGCCCAAGTTTGAATGAATCCACTAGTATTTTGCAGTCGATACAAATGAGGCCCTTCCTTGGGGAAGGCTTGGTTGATGTAGGCAAATATTCATCATATAGATTGCATTACATGGGTAAGGATGACATATACATGTTCGTTTGTTGGTCTGAAGGGAGCCGTATCGACAGGAGACCGGGGTCAGAAAGACCGTTGTTTTGTTAATGAGGTCGGAATGACCATAGAGTAGGCGATCGGAGGTCGGGAAGACCGTAGGTCGGCAGAGGACTGGGGTCTGAAAGACCTTTGTATGTTTGTGGAGGTCGAAAGGACTAGAGTTAGGTCGATGGAGGTCGGGAAGATCAATAAGTAGGCAGGAGACCGGGGTCCTGAATGTCGGGCGCTTAAGAGGACGTCGGGTCCTTCAGCATGGACGTAGGGACTGAACGTTGGCCTTAAGGCAGACGTCGGGTCTTCAAGCAGAAACGTCGGGTCTGAATGTCAAGACTTTAAGTAGATACGTCGGCCTGACATCGGGCTAAACGTCGGCCTTGAGATTGGTGGTGCGGCGAAACTGCGGCGGGTGGTCCGGCGGAGGTCCAGCGAGGGCTTCCGTGCGGTGTGCGGGTGAGGTTTCCGGCGGGTGCTCCGGAGGAGGAGCTTTCTTCCTCCTTCTTCCTCCTCCTTCTCCTCTTGCTTGGATCTCCCGTCTTGTGAAAAATGAAGGGCTCTATTTATAGATTTTTCCTAGAGTGGCATGGCCCCGTAAATAGGTTGTGAGATCAAGGGGCAGAATAGGGAGTGGTCAAAATGGAACGGCCGATATTGGATCCTAATTGATCGTGGCACCGTTCATTGGACATTTTGAAGGCCTTAGTGATGTCCGGATTCGTGAGTCTTGGCTCGTTGGATTCGTCTCGTCGAGGACCTTTTCGATTCGAGTTATAAGCTCGTCCAAAATCGAGTTCCTTTGGGTAACTCAAAATTGCGGTTTTGAAAACCTTCCAACAGCGCTTCGGATCCATGATTTGGACCATTTGGGCGCTCGGATTGGGTTGATCTTGGTGTCGTTGAGTTCGTATTTCCGAGACGCTCAGTTCGACTATAAGCTTGCTGAAATCGGAGTTGGGGTGCTCTCGGAATTAATTTTTGAAGTTTCCAACTAGCTTTCGCCTCGAGATTAGTGCCCAATCAAGCTAATTTTGTGATGCCGTATCAAGCATAAAATTAGTTATTAATCATTTGATCAACATAAAATCTTTTTTGTAATAATAATCTATTTCGTACATGTTTTAAATCTTATGACTAAATTAGTAACGTTTTTTTCATTCAAATTAGATATGGAAAGGTATTTCAAAAGAAAAACTGAAGAAGATGCTCAGAATATTTTATGTGGGAAAAATAATATACAAATTAAACAAAGGTATGTAGAAATAAATTTTACTGATATCCCCACTAATAAACTTCTTTAGTGTTGCAGCTAATAAATTTTGGATGAATCCCATGATGTATCAGTTAAAGAACAAGTTGTTATTTCTTTACCTTATGTAGATAAACAAGGTTGTGTTATTGAGCGTTTTATTATGATTATTCATGTAGAAGAGACATCAACTGTAACAGTAAAGAAGTAGATCGAAGCATTTTTTGCAAAATATAGGTTGAGTGTGTCACAACTGTGTGGACAATGTTATGATAGAGCTAGCAACATGTGGGGTGAGTTTAATAAACTAAAATATTAATCATGAAAGAAAATTATTCTACTTATTATGAACATTGATTTACAAAAGTGGAGGTTTAAATTAATAAATTGCTCTTCAAAGGGCAGGAGATACTCTTTAGGATTCTCACTATAATTCAATCATCAATTTAATTCTTCTGTTTGGATCTATAACTGCTGCTCTTGAGATAGCAATAAAAGATGAATCTAACAGTGAGCAAAAAGGTGAAGCATATACCCTCTTTAATTATGTGCATAGTTTTGAATTTATTTTTAATTTGCATATGATGAAAACTATATTAGGAGTTACAAATAAGTTATCACAAGTACTGTAAAAAAAGAATCAAGACATTATATATGTTATGAATTTGGTAAAAGTTTCTAAACAAAAGTTTCAAAATATGAGAGATGAAGGGTGGGATACTTTGTTTAATGAACTTGTATTACTTTGTGAGAAAAATAACATAAATATTCCAAACATGATAAATACATTTATGATGCGAGGAAAATCAAGGCGTCGTACTGAAACAATAAAAAATAGACAACATTATTAAATCCGGGTCAATTTCGGATTAGCAGGTTGACCCGGTCCCGACCCATTTATTCAAACGGGTCGAATTCTGGAACCCAAACCCGACTTGCTTGCGAAACGGGTTGACCCTAACCCAAAACTTTTGAACTGGATTTAGGTTGGGTTTTGGGGTCGTATCAAATATTGACACCCCTAACCTCAAGCTCTACTCGACTCAGAGCTTTCAATTCAGTAATCTTGTTAGACTTTGTGATTTTCTTTCTTACTCTATGCAGGCAATTCTACATTGTAATAGACATGTAACTTCAAAAGCTCAATAACAAGTTAGATGAAATTAATATAGAATTATTCATTCATTTCAACTTTGATAAAGAACGACTGTTATGTCTAGTAAAATTTTATCTGTTAGATTTTTCAAAAATGGATCTCATCATACTAGATAATAAATTAAAAAATTTATTATTGATGTGAGATCAACTAATGCATTTATGAATTTAAAAGGACTTGGAAAACTTGCTCACAAAATAGTGGAGATTAGGAATAGTGATATTTATCATTTGGTGTTCTTACTTCTAAAGTTTGCTCTGATAGTGTCAATTGATCAAGCAACAATTGAACAAATATTTTCTATAATGAACATTATAAAGAATCGTTTACACAATCATATGGAAAATTCTTGGATGAATGAATGTTTACTTACTTAAATTGAAAAATACATATTTAATAGTATTAACAATGAATGATTGTAAAATGATTTCAAAAAATGAAGACTTGACAAGAGAAATTATAGATAATATGTAATAAGAATATCAAGATTTAACATTCTCAATTATAAGTTTTTTTCCTTTATCATATATTCTATCTTTTAATGAGTCTAACGATTTAAAAAAAAAATTAAAACTATCAATGCCGGTCCCAAGCCAGGATAAAAAAGGTTGAGGATTTTTTTTTATTCAATAATTTGTGCTCCCACATGAAAAAAAAAACAGTCTCCGCCCTTGGTATATACTTTGTTTGGCTCCTTTAGTAGCACAGTCTATTCACCCTTTATTGCAATAATTTGTTGTAATAACCCACCGGACTAGTGCAGACTGCAGACATGGCATGATAGAAATATTTTGACTTACTAATTTTGATGCTTGATGATATGTTTTTTAAAAAAATTATTGAATAAGTAGCCTATGTTTCTCTCTCAAACATATGTAGTGATTGGATGAGAATTCTCTCATAATGAGTTATGCAATTTTAGTTGGCTTGTTATTAACAATTATCAATCGATGTTAATGTTAAAACTTGTGGTAAAATAGAGAAGTTCCTCAAAAGTATCATGCAATAAGAGGATATCAAGAGCTTAAGTTATATTTAATCAAAAATTTGCATAAATTTGAGTCCTTAACTGTAAAAAGTTGTTGATAGCTATGTTTACGTTAGTGGAAATAAGAATATTAAGGCGGATGTGCAGTAAAACTATGAAAGATAAATTAAAGAACAATTATATTGGATGATCTGTTGGAGTGACACTATCAAAAGTAAGGTAGTTGAAAATAAACATAGCTGATCTGGGGCATGTACAATAAAGGATATAAAATAGCCCATTATATAGGTATGTTAAATTCAAATCGGAAGATTATAAGGAAAAAGGGATAAACCAAAAGCAACATGGATAAAGATTGTTCAAATTGATTTATAAAGACTCAAATAGCACTCAACATAAATGAATAGAGAAAGATAAGTTATAAAGCTAACAAAAAATAGTTGGCATAAGGTTTGTTGCATGTCAAAACATTCACAACAATATTTAACATCTTAACTTTGCACGAAAATCCAACTCACATAAATAAGAAAGGAGTGCATAAATTATAAGAGACACTATAATTTTTACTTGTAAAACCCGGGAAAGAGAAAAAATTATGGGGTATGGCCTAATTGAAATGATTTTGTTAGTGATCACCATCAGTTACAAATGATGATCCTCCATAAGAGAAGACATCAATTCATTGAGGTGAGCATGCAATGTAGAGAACATATTGTGCGATTAAAATTAGAAGAACCCTGTGTCAGGTGATTTTTAAGAGATCATTTACATGCTTGTTTGGTCATACTCCATTGAGAAAGGAGACCAGAAACTAAAAAAACTAATATAAATCACAATACTGATGTCGAGAGTCAGAGTTAATGTTGATAGTGTGCATTGATTATATAAATGATAGAATGTTGGAATTATTAGAGATGGTAAGTGACAAAGTCAGTGGCCATCAATGTAGCCATGCAACATTGATCAAAATTCAAAAGATTATAGTTCAAAAGACCCTACTCGAGCAATGGAGGTCAAAGGACTATAGTCGGGTGACGTTGATCCGAGGACCATTGAGTAACGGTAGTCAGAGGATCATGATCGGGCAATGATAGTCCAAGGATCATAGTCTGACAACAGTGATCCAAGAACCGTAGTCGGTCAGTGGTGGTCAAAAGAAATGACCATCAATTATGGAATTTGCTCTAAAATGTGTTTACATTTATAAGGGTAAATTTTGAAATGATCATTAGTGATGTGAATAATTTCATGAAGTTTATTTCAAATTACTATGCATTTCTCCCACTAACATTTCCTACCTTTGCGTCAATGGTTAGAGAAAAAAACTTAAAGCACTATAGAAGGTGTCTTCAATTCATAAGAAACAAAAAAATTGCTTACAATGGTTGTAATTGGTGAAAATCCACTTTTATTTCACAAGCATTAAGTAAATCAAATGCTGGCAAATAGGAATGTTAGTTAATAGAACATTTTACCTGATGTTGAACTTTCACATGCCTTGACTGGATTATATTCAAACTCTTCTATATCCGGTAACCTATCAAACTACAAATTGTTGTCAGTCAGTTGAATAGAGTAACATTTATTTTTTCTTGCTTCAAACAACTCCCAATAAGTTAAATCCTCAACAAGGCCCGGTGAAAAGAGTTTAAACATAATAGACCACCAAAATCACAAAAGTAAATTTCCAGCCAATATAAAGTAGATTTAATCAATAGAAACTTCCTGCAAAATAAATGTGACAAAGTTTTAAAGAAAGCGAACAATGAAATGAAACTAGTTTTGCTTCGTCAACTTTATTTCAAGCTAAAAGCCAAAAACATTTACTATGTATAAGAATCTTACTTCAATTATCCCCCAAATCAAAGAACACCAAAGTACCCTATGTGTAAAACAGCAGTCGAGTAATTATCATATCATTCAAGCAAAGAAGTCGCCAGCGCATATCAAAATATAAAATTGCAGTTTCCGCGGCGACTGAGAATATAAGATGATGAACTTACTACAGGTACGGGAGCTTCACCGCTTGGAACATCCATAGCAACCTCGACTATCCTCCTTGCGCTGTCCCTTCTCACGCGAACTCCAACAGGGGTTTTCTCGGCTCCATCAGAACCTGAAAATAAGCAGAAACACATTTGCAGAGAAATAACCAGGAATGATACGGACTGACGAAATCAGAAGAAATAAGCGAACCTGTAACCGAACTAAGTGTTTTGGGAGACAGCGATCGGGACGTGGCTCTGGAGTTAGGCATTCGAAGGCCTTTTCCGGCGTACAGATGGGGAAATGGAAAAATCCGGCGAAGGGCGAGGCTGTGGTGGAAGAGCATTTTAAGAGGGAAATACGAGGAACTGAGTTTTATTTTTATTTTTTTTTAGTTGGGACTGACCGCATCAAGTTACAACTTACAATCAGTAGCCATCTTGGTTTGTAAAATACGCATAAGATCGAATCATTAAAGAGTTTGTAACGTGGAGTGTTCAAAACCTTGGGGTCTGGTTGTAGCGGTAGGGTCTGGTTGGAGCGGTAGGGGCTGTTTTTTCTTTTAAATGCGATTTTTTATTTTTTTTTTTTTTTTTTGGAAATTAAGGGCTTAGCCCATTTTATATATAAAGAGAAAATTATAAAGTAAAGAAAAATTACAATGTAAAAAGGAACTCCATGAGCTTCAAAAAATAGAGCAAAGCTCGCCAAAAATTCAAAATAAAATTCTCATCATGAAAGTGTAAAAACATAAGAAGATATAAAAACGGGTTAGAAAGCAAAGTGAATTGATGTTCGGACTCAGAGCAAAATAGGATCTTCTAGAATTTCAAAATCAGATAATAATTGAAGGGAGCCTCCCATGGTTGCCTAGAAGACCATCCAAAGGGAGCAGGTATGGATATTGAGAGAGGGTCATCATCATTTGAGGCATTCCAAAAGTGCGAATGTATGAAGGAAGAACTAGCAAATCTCACAAAAAAGTATGTTTCTTTTTGAAAACATAACACATGAACAACTACCATAGACAATTCATCCCACCATATAAGCACGAAACACCCCAAAAATCAAATAAAAAATTAAAATTCTGATTAATTGGACACCAAAGCTTTCAAATTCTCCCAACTTCTCCATTTTGCAATTTTAAGGAACATAGCTTCCTTAATTAAGCTTTGATTAGACTAAATGCAACCATGCTTTGAGCCAAATTTCCTATCATTTCCCTCTCTGCATAAATAGTAAATATAACATGATATAATGAGAAAATGAAAATTCTTTGCATCCGGGATTTAACTTTCCATGTCATAGATGTGATCAAACAACATAAGTAAGCTGGGGCGCATGAGAAAATGACTCATATTAGGAACCAACTCAGCCAAGACATTGAAGGCGTAATCACATTTAAAAAACAAATGTGAAATGCTTTCATTCAAAGAGTGTCAATGACAACAAATATCGCCAATAATAATGTTCCTCTTAGCTAAAGTTTAAGCAATTTTCAGACCTCCAAGAAGAGAAATACAAGCATAAGAAGAGAATCTTAGGATGGAATGTTTATGCTAGAGAAATTTGTGTCATGATATTGTGGGAGCTCATTGTAATAGTCTAAAAGACATGAATTAAAAGGACTCCTGCAAACCTTAACCCAAGAGATGCTATTTATGTAATTATCATGGATGGGAACAGCTCAGATAGCTTGTAAGATAGGTTCAGGTAAGTTCCAATTGATGTTGTGTATGATGATAGAAAGAACATGTAACAACTCAAAATATGAAAAAAGCATTTTAAATAAATTTTAAATTTATGTTTATATTATAGCTCTTCAGGGTTGTACTTCAGAGTGTTATGTCATTAGATTTAAGAGCACAACATTGACAAAAATCATTGTCGTGCTATTTGAGTCTCTATTGTATAGTAATTGTGATTTCTAAATGCGGGCGCTACGACGTTGGATTTGAGCATTGTGGCGCAGGCCACTAATAGTACATTTATAAATTTTGTATTATAAATCCTAAGAACTAAAACTCCAGTGCTGCCACCTCTTCCCCATTCATGTGGATTGCTATGAAAGAAGAGAGGGAAAGTGAAAGGTAGAGGAGAGAGGGATGGAAGAGAAAGCTAGTTTTGTTCATTTTCATCTATGGTTTATGTTCTAAAAAAATCTTCTGATCGTAACAAGTAACCGAATCTCACTTTAGCTTTCAATGATTTTTAGTTTAACAATTTTAATCTTTATTAAATCAATTAAAATATAATTTCTTCTGATTTACTACACTTTTATCGTATAACTTTTTTAAGCAATAAATACAAACTTTATGAATATTTTGACTACAATATTATTGAATTTCACTAGTTAAAATGAATGTTGTGATTTTCTAAAGCTTTTTTTTTTTTTTTTAGATTTGAGCAATTTTATATTGCATTTTATGCATAAAAGGAAGATTGATACAACAAATACTTTTTTTTTTTTTTTGTAAATTTATAGATTTGAGCAATTTTATATTGCATTTTATGCATAAAAGGAAGATTGATACAACAAATATGAAATAAATGTAGTACATGCATGTAAGAAAGAAAAAATAGTTGTTGGCACAACTAATTCAGGTTGGTTGTCAAAATATAATATCTTGTACAAGAGGATGACAATTTTTCTTATCCTAGTTGTAGATTGTAATTGATGACTGATAACATCAATGGGTAAAGAGTGATGAATCTTAATGATTTATTAAAAGTCACTCGAAATGATAAATTGATAAATATATTGAATTGATAATGATAATGATTAATACAGAGGAATGAATGAAAATATCATATTAAAAAGGGATGTCCTAGTTTTTTAATTGTATACTTAATCATATATTGATACAATTCCTGTGTTGATAGCATTGCTAGCATTAATAAATAGATAAAGAAGTGTGTGCATTATATGTACATATTTCGTGTACTAATTTCATAAGAATAGATAAATGATAAGATAGGCAAGACTGGTAACATTAACACCTATATGTTCATGTTATAATATTAATTTATCAATTTCATATTCCACACTATAATTTATAAATTTAAACATGTTCACACTTTTCACTATTGAGTATATTGAATCATATAAGTGATAATTGAGCATAGAGGATATTAAACGCTACTGACTCTATCAATTTAAGATGACCTGTATGTTGATTTTCTTAGATCTTATATTGAAAGCTTTGATAAGTCCAGAGTTTTTACTGGTCTTTGTAAGCTCATTTTGTGGTTTTACTAATTTTAGGTTAGCAAAGGGGCCAAGATTGTGTGGAGTGAGATTGATTGAGATCCTCATGTTCTTCTTTTAAATTTTATAATGTATTTTCATTTATTCTTTTATAGTCAAAAGCTATTGATAGATTAGTTATTGTTAGTGAACTCCTGGCTATTGTAAATGTGATTTTGATGAATGACTATAGTAAATTATTTTCTTATGTATCATATGTGATACATCGTACAAAAATTATCTTAATCGGGCACGAATATCGATGCAAAATCAAATTGGAAACTTCAAAAATTAATTTGGAGAACATCCAAACTCCGATTTCAGCAAACTTACAGTTGAACTAAGCGTCTCGGAAATACAAACCCAACGACACCAAATTCAACCTAATCCGAGCCCAAATGGGTCCAAATCAAGGACCTGAAGCTCTGTTGGAAGATTCAAACCACTATTTGAGTTACCAAACGGTCTCCGATTTTAATGAGCTTATACTCGAATCGAACGGCTCGACGAGAAAAATCAAACGAGCCCAAGATCGTCGGATTCCAAAATCACTAAGGCCTTCAAATGCCTAACGAACGGTAGGACCCGAAGCGCTGTTGGAAGGTTCAAACCACAATTTGAGTTACCAAATGGTCTCCGATTTTAACGAGCTTATACTCAAATCGAATGGATCTACGAGAAAAATCTAACGAGCCCAAGATTGTCGGATTCCGAAATCACTAAGGCCTTCAAATGCCTAACGAACGGTCCATGATCAAGGGGTTCAATATCGGCTGTCCATCCGACCACTCCCTTTTTACCCTTGATCTCTCACATATTTACAAGCCATGCCACTCCATAAAATTTATAAATAGACCCCCTCATTTCTCTTGAAAGGAAAGGCCAAGCAAGAAGTGAGGAAAGAGAAGAATATAAGAGAAGGGAGAAGGAAGAAGCTCCTCCTAAACCACCACCGGAGTTTCGCCGGACCACCACCGGAGTTCCGCCGGACCACCACCTGACGCCCTGTGCTCCTCGACCACCGCCGGAGTTTCGCTGGACCACAGCCGAAGTTCCGTCGGACCACCACCTGACGCCCTGTGCTCCATCGGACCACCACCTAACGCCGTCACTCCGCCGGACCACCACTTGACACCCTGTGTTCCACTGGACCATTATCTAATGTTGTCCCTCCGCCGAATCATCACCTGACACCCTACGCTCTGCCAGTCCTTCACTTGAAGTTCTCATCTTCTCCAGGCCACCGTTGAAGACTCTCACCTTTGCCTGACCTTCATCTAAGGCCCTTAGTTCTGCTTGACCTTCATCTAAAGCCCGAAGTTCTGTCATACATTCATCTAAGGCCTGAAGTCTTGCCAGACCATTACCTGACACTTGAACTTCTATTGTTACTTGTAATCTGATAGCTCTTAGAAGCGAGTCAGCCCATTATAACCAACTCAAGTTCTAGTGAAATCTTTTCAACAGGGCTAGGCCTCGTGGTTTTTCCCCTTCTAAGGATTTTCCACGTAAAAATCCATGTGTTCTCTGTGTGTGAACTGAATATTCGTGCAACGCTAAGACGTAGTATTCTAACTCTATCGCCGTGTATATTCTAGTCTGCAACAATATGCAATGGATTTTATAAGATCATCTTATTCATATTGTTGATTTATATATGATCTTATAGAAGCTCTGGTAAATGATTAAAAAGATAAAATAGATACAACAACAACAACATCATCATCAAGCCTTTGTCCCACTACGTGGGGTCAACTACATGAATCCTTTTTCGCCATTGAGTCCTGCTAAAAGTCAAATTCTCATTTAAATCTAATAAATAAATATCATTTCTAATATTTTCTAACCAAGCCTTTTTAGGTCTACATCTACCTTTCTTAACATAAGTCAAATATAATATCTCAATTTTTCTAATCGGGTCATTGGAAGACCTCCGTTTAATGTGACCAAATCATCTAAGGCCGCTCTCTCTAATCTTATCTTCTACTAGAGCTACTCCAACTTGCTCACGTATATGTTCATTTCGTATCTTATATCTAAGGTTAAAGTCACTCATCCACCTAAGCATCCACATCTCTGTAGCACTTAACTTAGTATTATGCTTCTCTTTTAATGGCCAACATTCATGAGCATAAAGCATTGCAGGTCTCTTTGCCATCTTATAGAATTTTTCCTTAAGTTTGAGGGGGACTTTTCTATTGCACAACAAGCTCAATGTATTCCTCCACTTCAACAATC